GATATTTGAAGGTCTCTTGCTATCAATAGATTCCACTGCCATGGGGTTAAATTCGTTAAGTATTCGAGTTGCACATGAGTTAATGTTCTTAACCGAACCAACATAAGCTTTCCTTGCTTCTCTTGTTCGTTTCAAGATCCCCAACCTTGTAACGCTTGTATAGAAAGAGGTTTGACAGTGATCCAAACTCATGAACAAAACCGTCGGTGCAGACACTTCATTTTTTCTCATTTAACGGTCCATATTATCTCTTTGGTTGCCACATTAATGCCATGTTAAATACAAAAATATTGTCTAAATTGCATACCATCTTTCGGTGGTACCATGGGCGCAAACACATATCACAAAGTCAAGTAGAACTTGAGCTTTTGATACTCACGCTTGGACTACGCTCGACTCATTAACAAAATAAATCGATAAATAATTTGTACATAACTCATTTATCAATATTAAAGAGTGAAATTCAAATTTAACCAACAGAGTTTCGAACTATTTATTTCATTTAACATTCTCCCTATATATTAATTCAGAACGTGCTGAGCCTAAGTGGCACGCTCGCATGCTTCGGGATCTTATGTGGCAAAATTATATGCTTCATTATTAGCTTATGTAGATTTTAGTTTATTTCCAATCCAAAAATAACTAGGTCCAGATTATCCATAAATATGTTGATTATTTATGATCATGTTACATGTATTAATTGCATTTCGATTTCATTTCTTATTATAACCATTGAATTGTAAATATACTTTAAAAGATAATAGCTTTTTGATTTTTTTTATCAATCTCACATATATAATATGTAAAATTAATCATCACTTGAAGAGCTTCAATTTAACATTCATATTGTATGTATAAAAAAATTAATTACCTTTATCTTTATCACAATAATAAAATTATTTTTTAACATTTATTAGAAAAATAAAATTATTTATCAATTAATATATTTATATTTCAAGCAGTTATATGATCTAAGTTATAAAAATTATTATAACATATCATATGTAAGTCGCACAAGTAACAAGTGTCATTTTAAAATATATAATAATATATTATTTTGTAAAAAAGTAACTAAACTTTAAAATATTTTTTCTCGTTAATTTTAAAAATTAAGAATAATATTTAAGTAAGCACACATGTAATTCAGGGTGTTGTAAGAATATCTCCCCCTCTATATTAATTCAGAACGCGTTGAGCCTACGTGGCTGCTTCTGGTGCTTCGGAATCTTATGTGGCAAAATTACATGCTTCGTTATTAGGCTTGGGTAAATTTTAATTTAATTCCAAACCAAAAATAATTAGGTTCGGATTACCATAAATATGTTGATTATTTATGGTCATGTTACATGTATTAATTGCATTTTAATATTATGCATTATTATAACTATTGAATTGTATATATATTTTAAAATTTAATATTTTTTGTATTTTTTATTAGTTTTACATATGTAATATATCAAATTAATCTTCTTTTGATGAGCTTCGATTTAACCTCCATATTGTATGTATAAAAGAAATAATTTATATTTATCTTTATAACAATAACAAAATTATTTTTAATATTAATTAGAAAAATAAAATTATTTATCAACTAATATATATATATTTCAAGTAGTTATATTTTATAAGTTATAAAAACTAATATAATATAACCCATGTAAGTCATAAGTTACACATATTATTCTAAAATATATAGTAATATATTTTTTTTTAAAAAAAGTAAACTAAATTTAATATAGTTTTTTTATTAATTTTAAAATTTAAAAATAATTTATTAACAAGCACCCGTGTAATACACGAGTGTTGTACTAATATTATTATAAACTGTCAAAACTTCCTCTTGTGGAATTCGACACGTGTTGTGACACTCTTTCAACGCGCAACTTTTGACTTTATCCTTGACCCTCCAAATCCCTATAAAACCACCAAAAATATCTCTCCTCATTGATAATATCAAAAACATTTTTCACACGAACATTTCCACAAACACATTATCTACACCGTATTTGGTCCATTCCAAAATCAGATACATCCTAAATTATCTATATATATACCCTCATAAAAAATACAGATACACCGTATTTGGTCCATTCCAAAATCAGATACATCCTAAATTATCTATATACCCTCATAAAAAATACAGAACAATCATGTGTACCACCTCCACTTGCACGGCCGACGTCGCAGGAACCACCACCATAACCGCCGTCCACCCCGACGTCATCCGATCACACATCCTCAACAGGCTCGACGGCGCCGCCCTCGCCGCCGCCAGTTGCACCTCCCCACAGCTTCGCTCTCTTTGCCGAGAAGATTGGCTGTGGCGGGAGATCTGCAACTCCACGTGGCCGTCCACCGCCGACCCCGCCATCCGCGCCGCCATCTCCGCCCTCCCCTCCGGCCACCGCTCCTTATACTCCGACTGCTTCCCCTCCGCCCGGCCTCACCCCTCCTCTCACGGCAAGACGATTCTCCCGCCGGAATTTCTAATCTCTGCCGTTGACATTTACTTCGCTGGCAGATTGATACACTCGAAGGTCCTGAAGACGGAGACTCTCTCCGGCTGGTTCCAGAGGTCGCCCTTCCGCCTCGACCTCCTGAGCCCCAAGGAAACCCTGCGCACGCCGCTCCAATTCGACGACGACTGGGCAGCACGCGCCGCCGCGCTCCTGCGCGTGAGCTGGATACTGATCGACCCGCGGCGGGGACGGGCGGTGAACGTCGCCGGCTCTTGTTCGGTGGAGGCGCGGCGTGACTGGCTGACGGGGGACTTGCAGCTCCGGTATGCCACGGTGGTGGACGGCGGTGGTGGGGAGATGTTCCTGGGAGGCGTGGAAGTGGTGGTGGCGGCGGGGGAGAATGTGTCGGTGAGAGAGGTGAGCGTGCGGTTGGAGGACGTGGAGGGGAGGGTGGTGGCCGGCGCGGACGGCCTGAGGGTGCTGGGCCTGGCCATGGAGGGGCGGCGGTGGAGGGCCGACGGGGAAGCGGAGAGAGGGGCGTATGAGATGTTCGTGAGGGCGAAGGTAGGGTATAGAGAGAGAAAGGAGAGGAGAGAGAGGAGGATGGACCTGGCGTGTGTGGCCGCTGGAGTTTGGATTTTCGTCTCCATTTTGGTGTTTTTTTCTGTACGGATGAAAATTAGTTTTGGGGGAATTATGTTTTAGTTTAAGGTAAACATTAAATTACGGTTGATGGCAGTTGCAGTGTGTTAAAAAATTGTAAAAAATATGTACTTGTAGTTTTTGTTATGTTGTAAAAAGAGGAAATTGTATTTTGTGAGAATATTTAGATAAAATGATGTATGTTTAATGCTGAGAAGTAAAGGGCTCAATTAATTTTTCTACTCTTTCATAATGCTCGAAATTCATTTGCTCGGTTTTGTCTTCAAAGATGTGTTTGATAACTCATGTTCATTGAAAACCCCAAAGAAAAACACATCAAGAAAAAGAAAAATTGAAACCTTACAAAAAAACACATCATGAAAAAGAAAAGAAACACACACACACACACACATATATATATATATATATATGGAGATGCTACAATCCCGTTACATAAGCATTGCGTCAGGATTTGTAACCGTTAGATCAACGAATCCTGACGGTACATGATGATCTAACGGTTATAAACCCCAACGAAAAAGTTTCCGTAACGGGACTGTAGTATTTCCTATATATACCTATTCTTTTTCATCTTGCACAAGAGTAAGAAAACAAAAGTTCTTGGCAACTTAGCTTTTGACGAGGTGAGTGTAGGGGTGAGCAAAACCGAGCCGAAATCGAAAAACCGAACCGAACCGATGTATTCGGTGCGGTTCGGTTCGGTTTTTTAAGGTTCGGTTTTCGGTGCGGTTAAACTTTTGGAAAACCGCACAATTTTTGGTGCGGTTCGGTTTTTTGTTCGAATGATGCGGTTTTAACCGAACCACACCGAATATAGTTTTTTTTATATATATTTTTTTTGTTTTTGTTTTATTTATTTTTTACAAATATGAAATATGTTGACATGTTTGTATTGTAAATATACATGCTCATTTTAGGCCTTTGGTTTAGGATGACTAACATTAACAATAAATAAGTAAAGTAATAA